CACCCAGATTTTGATCACCTGACCATGGGGGACTGCTGCGACCGGTCATTATGTGTGAAAACCATCCATAAGTCACTTTTTTTCAGCGCTGTTGTAACTTCGGTCACTAAACCAATGGTTGTAAGTCAAGGACTATCTGTATATGAATAAGCATGACTTGCAAAGAACTGATCAATGATCACCACCTCCACCCCTCCATTTATAATCTTCGGAAATATTCTCTCCTTCCAGAGCCCAGACATTTTTGTCATTCCCTTCTTGCTAACTTTAAATAATGGGGTGGGAAAAAGAACGAAGGAAGTGGCCGGGGGGCGGGGGGGGGCGGGGAGTGACTACTTGAAACTTTTTTTTCTTTTTTTTTCTTTTTGCTTTCTGCGTAGGCACAGTCCAAGTAGCCAACTGCCTTTGTCCTTGAAAACAGACCAGGAAGTGACAGGTTTTCTGTACAGTCAGTTCAGTCACTCCCTTCCAGGAAAATCAGCCTTGATATTCTGCCAAGTCAGTCTTGCTTCATTTAGTTCCTGAACAAACATTTGCTGGGTTTCCACTGGGGGGGCTCTTCTTCTGCAGAGCAGAGGTGAATTGTAAGAAAAAAAGTTTAAAGGGCCGTTTGAAATGTGCAAAGTGGAGTTATTTAAAGATTTAAGGGGTGATATTGATAGTGGTGTAATAGTTTATTGATAGTGGTGTAAGAACCACAGCTGGGCCTGGCGTTAATTCTATATAGATTGAACAAGCAGTTTTAAAAATAAAATTAATACGGATGGCTTATAATGGTCGGCATTTTCCAATAGCAGGGGAAACGTTAACTCAAATCTTTTTTCCTGCTGCAAATAAAGAGAGACTCTGCCAGGATTTGCATGGGGAAAGCAGTGAGAAACGGGGGCTTTCCCATGCAAATCAAATGCAGTTTCAAAAGGATCTTTTCCCTGGAAGGCCGCCTTTGCTGTCGTTCTCTTGCACAGAAACGGGGCCAGCACTCCCGATGCATGTGACTCAGATTCAGAGAGTAGCTACGTTTATTTAAAAAAAAAAAGAAATCCTATGCCAAAACATCTTCCTTTAAGGACTTGTTCTCTCAAAACTTTCACCCGATTTCCGGTGGCTCTAAGTCACGGTGGGATTTTAGAGGATTATTTTGGGGGAAATAAACCTGCGCTAGAATAGAATAACAGAGTTGGAAGGGACCTTGGAGGTCTTCTAGTCCAACCCCCTGCTCAGACAGGAAACCACAAATGGTTAGCCAACATCTTCTTAAAAATTTCCAGTGTTGGAGCATTCACAACTTCTGGAGGCAAGTTGTTCCACTTATTAATTGTTCTAAATGTCAGGAAATTTCTCCTTAGTTCTAAGTTGCTTCTCTCCTCGATTAGTTTCCACCCATTGCTTCTTGTTCTACCCTCAGGTGCTTTGGAGAATAGTTTGACTCCCTCTTCTTTGTGGCAACCTCTGAGATACTGGAACACTGCTAACCTGGAGAATTCCTTTCCACTTTCAGCCAGGGTAACTTTCTATGACATTAAAGAATGCACCCACCAACCCACACCCAGCTTCACCACACAGAAACAGTGGTGCAGCTTTATCTGCAGACGTGGTGTGTTGTTGGATTCTCCTTGGGTGTTGCGTTCTTTTTGTTTTAATTTGCCCCACCTCGCCTACAGCATCTAAGGTGTCACCCTGTGTAACCTTTTCAAGATTAGCCAAATCAGCTACATTCTAAATTACCAACGCGTTGAAAAGAGTCCATCCCCAAGAAAAAATGCACATAGGCAATTACAACGTCTTGCCATCCTGTATTTATGAATTAAAAAGAAAAAAAAGGGGGGGGGAAGTCTGAGATGAAAGTTACACACAGCTGTAGAGTTCGGCGGCACTCTTAATCTGTCGGGGAGGCAAGCTGTGCCCAACAGATGGTAGACAGAGCCCGCTGGTTTTACATGCCACTGCGCCCTGCCACAATCTGCAATCTGCTAGCTCGGAGCACAGTGTAGGGCTGTCAGATTTCAAAACAGATTTGGACGAAATGCTTACCACCTTATGCCAGACCAGCTGCACTCAGCTATTGGTTAAAAGCGAGCATGGCCTTTTTTTTTTTTTCCCAGGCTTCTACATGAAGAGGGGGAGGAAGGGAGGGAGTTGCAGCGGCTTTCATGAATAGGTCATGAAAGCAGCGTATCCTGAAAAACAAGAGAACCCCCTGAAAAAGCGACATCTACGTGTTAAGGAATAGCAGGAATCTAAAATTCCAAGCACTTCTTCTGAACCATTTTCTTAGTACGTACAGCAGGTTACATTTAGCAAGCGTAGCGGGGAGTTTCTCCATCCGAAAACAAAGGATGAGAGACTTGCACAAGACTGCAGTTTCTCCTAAAAACCTATGGTGACAAAAAAAAAAAAACCCTCCCGTAAAATGTGCAAAAGACACCAAGGAAATGGCGCATTTGACTTACCAGCATCAATGGCAACATGCAATCAAGGGGATTGCAAGCTGCTGAGCTGAAGCGCTATAACACGGGTGGTAGAAATGGGTACCGAACATGATGTAAATGTCTTTACATTTTAAATCTTGCATGTGCAGCTCTGGGGTATAAGAGGGTCCTTTTTATGGGATGGGGGAGGGAGACCTTGAAATGCCCTGCATTAAGGGTGAGCAAATGCCCTGCAACGATACAGCAATAAAGGGAAATAAGATCTAAGCAAGTTGTACAATGTACACCGTGTATTTTGGGGGGGAAAGAACATTTCATGCTCCAGGGGGATCAAGTTGTCCTCTGTGCTGCTGAAATCACAGAAGCTGCCGCATTGGCCCGAACATCCCCAGCCCTTTTGTTTCTTCGCCCCCCCCCCACCCCAGTTCCAGGATCCACACGAAAGTCCATCACGCGTTGTGCTCTTATCTCCTTGCTCCTTCTGCTGCAAACTTTCCCCTTTGCATTATTCGTAAAGCATGTGATCTTGCAGAAGCGCTCATCATTTGTCATGCTTAGTAATGTCTACGCAGTGCAAAAGTGGAACAAAAAACAAAAATGAGTTCATGAAACTGAATGTCCTGGGTCAATCCCTCTCTAGCCCTCTGGGTTTGGGATGGTTTCCCAGGCTGTAGCCATTCACTGCCCGTTGCTGAAAAAGCCACACGGAGTAAACAAGGCTCCCTGGTGAACTGCCTTGACCCAGGAAAGCAGCTGGCTGGCTGCCCATGCTGACGATCTGCCACTTGGCTGCAGAGCCAAATAAACAGAGGGGGCTGCACTTAATGAGCCTACTCTGGGTAGTAAGAAACCACATTTGCAAGCTCAGAGGAGGAAGAGAGCAGCTTGAGCAGAAGTGGGCCCTTCTCCTGTGCTCAAATTCCGAAGGACAGAACTGCCAGACCTTTATTAGCTTGTTTATTTAATGGGCATTTTCAATTTAGGAGAGCAAGCTTTCTCCCCTGCAACAAGCATCCTCAGAAAGCCACCAGGTTGCAAGAGCTTTCTTGCCAGTGTGATAATCTTTGGAAAGCTGCATAAAATGAGGGCTCCCATATCTGAGCTGCAAATGTCCGGACGATAGCTAGATGGCAACCAAAGAGAGGCAGAAACTTTCTCTTTGCTGTCTCCCCCTACTGGTATGGGGAGAAGATTTTGGTTTGATGCTATGTTGGAGGGGAGGGGGCTGTCATAATACCCCGTAATTTGATGAGTACCACACATGTGACCGAAGAGGACTGGGAGAGGGTGCTTGCTATGAGAACTGGAAGTGTTGCGGGTGGATAGATAGCAATAGCACTTAGACTTATATACCACTTCACAGTGTTTTACAGCCCTGTCTAAGTGGTTTACACAATCAGCATATTGCCCCCAACAATCTGAGTCCTCATTTTACCAAGCTGGGAAGGATGAAAGGCTGAGTCAACCTTGAGCCTGGTGAGAATCAAACTGCTGGCAGTCAGCAGAATTAGCCTGCAATACTGCATTCTAACCACTGCGCCACCATGGCTCCAAAGATGAGTGGTTGTTTGGTGGTCTGGGTGGTATGTGGGGGTGAATGGACACCTTTGCTTAGGACAGGGTGTCAAACTCATGTCGTCACGGCGGCATCACATGACGTATTGGGACTTTCCCCCCCTTCCCTAAACAAATAGGGTGTGGGTGTGGCCAGCATATGACGCATCCGGCCTGTGGGCCAAGAGTTTGACAGCCCTGGCCCAGGAGGAAGATACAAGGACTGGGAGGGAAATGAGAAGGTGAAGAGGAAGTGGTAGGAACATAGGAACCATGATGGACAGAGATATGATAGGATCCTGGAGTGGGCTGTATTTGGGAGCGTTGGGCTCCCTTGCTGAGAACAATTCTGATAACCAGCCCCAGGTTCTTCACTCAAAACCGGGATATTGGATCTTTGGTGATCCTGGACTCCACCTGCTGTTGTTGGATGGCACGTCAGTCTGTAATCAATTTTCCTTCATCTACAACTGGGCTGTGGATGAGGCAGCCAACTAGGTTCTGGTGGACCTAGAGGGGATGTTACCCTCTTGGAAAAGTGGCCATCTGGGTTTGGGTTTTGGCACCAGCCCTTCCCAAAGGAGGGGAGGTGTGGTCATAGTTGTTATCCATTGAGTTGTTGTAGGCTTTCAGAGGCTCTGTCTGCTCCACAGATAACCAGATGTGAGGTCTTTGATTGAAGTGGTGCTCTAGGAAACAGGATTGTTGCTGATGAACTGGCGTCTTGCCACCCAGTATCATCCCTGTCTGAGCTACTGGATTCCATTGCTGGGCTGGCAACAGAGATGCCAAGACTGGTGGTGCTCAGTATGTGCTGGGCCCATAATGACCCAGAACATGTCCATAATTGTCATGGAGATCACAAATCCCTGAGCCAACCAATACTCAATGCCACAAGGGATTATTTGCCATCTGGTGACATTGAGTCTGGATTGGCTCAGGGATTTGTGGTGTCCATGACAATGATGGACATGTTCTAGGTCATTATGGGCCCATCACACACTAGGTGCCGGATGTTAGGCTGTCTTCAACATGGAGCAGTTGCATCATGATGTGGCTTTGGAAGACATTGTCATTAGTCTGTTGTTGTGAACAGATCACTTTTTAGCTCACTGATGTCATCTCACCTCACGAGGACAGACACCTTGTTAGATCCGATGGTCCTGGTCAGTCCCAGGATGCACTTTAGTCTACTGAGCATCTCTGCAAGATAAATTTGTGCATGAAGAGACACCTAGAGCACCATTGGAGGAAAACGAGAGTGAATCTTAGCATAGGTAAGAATCTATATTTGGGCTTACATCATAGTGATAAAGGCAGCAAAAATAACATAATCCTCTGCTCTTATTGCATCTCCCTGGCAGCCCTGTTCAAGGTGACTCAATCCCTGCTGGGGAGAGATAAATTCAGGACTAACTACTGTGAGAAATATTTTGCAATTTGGCAGATAAAGACATTTGGAACCATTCAGAGCTGGATTTTGAGTGAACAAGTCCAGATGAAGTGCCCATGGTATGGCCTTGTATAGTCAACTGAAGTGAGCTGGCTTGAGAGTCCTCAGACAACAAACAGGATCCTCTCATCTGAGAGCTTCGCTATCTGTTGTGATCCAGGCCTTTCCTGGATGGCTAAGGGTGCCTAGGAGGTGACCTACTGCTGGCTCCAGGTGGAAGTATATGCTTCTCTGCAGGAGTAGTCTCCTCAGTCTTGAAGGAGACTGTGATCTCCCTCCTCACCCCATCCTGGACAATTTCATTCCAGCCTCCAATCTTCTCTTTCTGTGGAAGGTGTTAGAGAGGTTGGTTGGGCTTCAGCTCCAGAGGACCCTGGAAAAAGCAGATTATTTAAACCTGTTGTGATTTGAGACTCAGGATGAGATTCAGTGTAGAGACAGCAGTGGTCACACTGGTTGATAACCTGTGGCAGAAGCAGGATGGGGGTGGTAAATCCATCCTGGTGCTCCTCAATTCCACAGCAACTTTCAGTACTGTCAACCATGGTATACTATTGGGCCAGCTTTGGGGGCTGGAAGTGGGAGCCACTGTTTGCAGTGGTTTTTCTCTTTTCTCTGTGCCCAATTCCAATCAAAGCTAGTAGAAGGTGAGAAGTAGCACTTGTGGTTCCTCACTTGTAGGGTGCTGCAGGGTTCAACCCTTTCTCCCCTTTTGCTTAATATCTACATGATAGCATCCATTGGTTTGGATTAGTTATTATCAATATGCTGATACCCAATTATACACAGCGACCCCAGGCCAACCGAGTGACACCACTTAAGTTCTGTGCCAGTGCCTGGAGGCTGTAGAGTTTGGATGGGGAGGAACAGGCTCAGTCCTGAGAAGACCAAGTGGCTTTGTTTATTTCACTCAGACACTCACACAGACAAGACACAGACATGGTTCCAAAACTGTCTATCCTTAGTCTTTAATCATATTACACTTTCCCATACAAGACCAGTATACAATCTAAGGGCCCTCCTGGACTCACAGCTCCTGCTCAAAGATCAGGTGGCCACTGAGGCCAAGAGGATCTTTGCAGAGATTCAATAAGTGCATCAGTTATACCCATTTCTGGATATAACTGGATACTGGATTCTGGATACCAAGAGTCCTTTCAAGCAATCACTCATGCTTTTGTTGCCTCTCAATTGTACTGCTATAATATGCACTAAATGGGGCTGTCCTTGAAAACCACTTGGAAGCTACAGCTGGCCAAGAATGCAGTGGCACCTGTCTCTGTTGCTTTACTATCTACATTGGCTGCCAGTTGGCTTTTGGGTGCAATTCAAGGTGCTGGTTACCATTTATATATCTCTACATGGCATAGGACCTGGTCACTTGAGGGATCACTTAATCCATTAGATGAATTCATTAGATGAAGTCCAGGTCCTGTCAATTAGGCAGTGTCATCTTGCAGGGCCTAGGAAATGTATTCCCTTAGAGATGGCTCCAGCTCCAACAATATTCCATGCTGATTCGTATCGCTCCTTCACTTTGATCTTTCTGCAAATGGCTGAAAACCTGGTTGTTCTTGGACTTAGTAGGTATCTGAGACCGTTCAGTTTGAGCTTTTTGCTGTTGGTCTGTTTGGTTCTGTCTTCCAATCAACTGTCTTCTCTTTCTCGATATTTTTTATTTTGCTTTTTGGTAAACCAGAGTCATTATGGAATCGAAAATTGAATCAATCAATTAATCTGGTGGTTGCATGGAAACTTGCAGCTCAGACCTGGGAGCTTTAATGAAATTGATTTGAGAACCCAGATCCAACTTGTTCACCTCTCCATGCTAGCTTCTACTTTAAGCAATATCAAGCACTTCTGGTGAAATTGGATTTTGCTTTCATACCAGGTACAAGTCTCTTTACTGCTTTTTTCTCATCCAGGTGAAAACATACTGAATGTACCTTATTTCTCTTTCTGATTTCTAACGTTATGCTTTGGCTGCATTCACATGTCCAAACACAATGCTAAAACCATGGTTTGTTCAATGAGCTGCTATACCTTGATTCACTCATCCAAGCCACAAAACATTAGAAACAAACAAACCACATCGGAGGAATAAAGAATTTTGTCCCTGCATGCTAAAAATCATTCTCCATGATCTGGTTACAATGGCTTAGCTGTTGGAGTTGGTATCCAAAACACCAGAGGGAGCATCAGGGTGCCTAGATATGGCTTCATATTGTGTGTGACTCAGGATGCCAATTTTAACATTCTTCTTAACGTCTGGCAGCAAAACTCTTGGCATATTTGTGCCTCGCCAAGCATACAAATATTCCTTTGAAGCATCTCACTAAGGCTGTATCAAGCCACTGATCTCAATGCTTTCTGACCCCAAGCAGACAATATGTGGTTTGAGAGCAGCATGAGATCCCCACAGATCTTTCTTCTTTCTGTAGTAAACAAGCAGTTCTCTGCAAAGTCTCATATTCTGTCTGAAACTCCACAGACTCATTTCAGGAAGTGGTGCAAAGCTGGGGTTGTTTAGACCAGGAGGGGGGTTCCCAAACCTGGCAACTTTAAGACCTGTGGACTTCATCTCCCAGAATTCCCCTGCCAGCCATGTTAAGTGGAATTGAAGTCCACACGTCTTAAAGTCGCCAAGTTTGGGAACCCCCTGGTTTAGACAATGTGAGGATGGGAAAAGGAGTAAAGGGGTTTGCTGAATAAACATCACTTCTGTAGCCTTCTTTTCTACCAGAACTTTACCTATGCTGTGTAATTCCAAGACGTTTCCTTTCGTTTCTGTTGTGTGACTTGCACAGCCCGGGCAATGACGAGCTCCCTTCAGTATTACACACGCTGTCACCTTTGCTCAGAAGTGATTTACGGAGTTACTAGCACAGGCTGGGAACTCCAGTGTTTCCCCAGTCACACCAACCCTATCTCACCTTCAGCCCAATTTAAACCTTGATAGTGCTTTTTCCTCTTCCTTGTTTGGACAGATCTTTAGACCAAGCTGGATTGTCTTTGCCTGATGCCTAAGATCAGGTGATGTCGAGAAGAGGAAAACGCCTTGTATCTGAGGAGAAAGAGTGGACAACGTCTGCCCTTCACTCCGGATCAAAAAAGCAACATTCTCAAACTCCACTTGTATGATAGTGAGTCAGGTCAATGTATCATTATGCTGGCAGGAGCTTAAATCATAACCGTAGGGATCCATATCCACTAAGATCGGTTGTTTTGCATTTGCTGAAATAGAAAAGGGAAATTACACGCTTGGCTCTGAAAGGAGAAAATGAAAAGGCTCCTGCAGATTCCCTTATCCTCTCTGCCACCCCCCACCCCACTATTCTCCTTGCAACTATTTTTCAATATCTTTCTTTCTTTTGCATTATTCTAATGTTTATCAGGGATGGGGCACTTTTTGTCCCAGTGACGCATTCCACGGAACTCTCTCACGGGCGACAAGCTGTAGCATCCATGACAGCACCAAAGTTACGCCAAGTTCTACGCAGCAGGAAGAAACACTAGAAGCGAAACAAACCAGGATGTTGACAGTATCTCATTGCAAAAAAAAAAAAAAAAACCTGACCGCTCAGACCAGAGCAGCAGGCAGCTACCGAAACAGGAAGGGGAGCAGACAGGACGTTTGGTCTTTGGCCAACCTGGTTCCTTTGCAATCCAAAACCACGCAACTAGGCCGGCCTTCAAAACATTTTCTCGAACAGCGGTTGGAAAGGCCCGTAAGCTTTGAAGGTTCTCGTTCCACTGTCCATATCAAGTTGGTATTTTTCTCCTCCCCACCCCCTCCTTTTTTGTTACATCTTGATCTTTCTAACAAGTGGGATTTAGCAAGAATATTCTTTTTTAAAAAAGTTTTTTTATTTTTTTTAAACATACAAACATACAAACAAACAGTACATCCTTAACCATACAGTGTTTCATCTGAGTACATATTTTGTGTCTTCTACTCCCTCCTCCATCATTTTCATACTATATTATGAAGGGGAAGAGTGGGACACAGCCCAAAGAATGGTGTCTCCCAGATATTTGCAGAGAGCTGGCTTCATCTCTTTCCTTTTAAGCTCCATTGACTCTGAAGCGTACTTCCCTTGCCTACAGTTGTCATGAAGAAGGAAATTGGTGTACATGCCACCTAGCAACCCACCTACTAACTCTGCAGTGTCCTTCCCATTCTTCTGTGTGTGGGATTAGGAATTGCCCCACTTGGCATATCACAATCTCAGTTCAATTAAGGTGAGAAAAGAAAAAGGGAAGCACTGTTGATAAGCCTAGCCTAGCTCGGCCGGCCAATCCTCATAAGCTATACCCATTGTTCCTGTCTTGGTGAAATGGTACACCACATGTACAGACCATATATGTAAATCCTCTACAGGTAGTCCTCAATTTACGACAGTTCATTTTTGTCATTAGTTGTTGAGATCATAAATTGACCTAGACAAGGCTGTATGACAATTTAATTGCAGTTGTTAAGCGAATCACATGTCGTTAAGCAAACCCATCTTCCCAAATGGGCAGTTTTTGCTGGAAATTGTCAAAAAAAGTAGCAAATTGCAATCATCTGACAATATCATCAGTTGTAAATGAAAGCTGGTTGCCAAGTGCCCAAATTGCGATCTCGTGATGTTGAGAATGGTATGATATTGTAAGTGGGTGTACAGTCTGTAAGTCGCTTTTCCTGAGGCCATTGTAACTTTGAACTGTTGTTAAACAAATGGTCATAAGTCAAGAACTGCCTGTTTTGTCCACCTCATTTCTTGTTCTTCTGGATAGGACGCTTGCAGATTCTATTCGTGTGTTCATTAGGGTATTAATCACGGCACAAAGTCCTTTTTGAAGCCTCCCGTGTCAAAGTTTGAAATATCAATTTTGAACATGCTAATAGTATGGTATTCTTAATCCCTGTCACCAGACTTTTATTCTTCAAAGGCTTCTGAGAACTAAGAGGAAATGTGGAATTAGAACTAATTTGGGCCACTGTGGAAACTAAAAGGAGTTTGCTTTTCTACCACTGACAGCTCTCTCAATCTATAAATAATTCCCCCCATCCCCAAGGAATTACAATTAGAGGCACTTTATTCAGCCCAGTGATGGAATTCAGATTTTTTTACTACCGGTTCTGTGGGCGAGGCTTGGTGGGTATGGCTTGGTGGGCGTGGCAGGGATACTGCAAAATACCCATTCCCTCCCCACTCCTGGGGGAAGGATATTGCAAAATCTCCATTCCCACCCCTCTCTGGGGCCAGCCAAAGGTGGTATTTGCCGGTTCTCTGAACTACTCAAAATTTCCGCTACCGGTTCTCCAGAACCTGTCAGAATCTGCTGAATTTCACCCCTGATTTAGCCCTTCCTTTGAGTATTATGATCCATACAAGTTTGGCCGCACTTTCTGCGCTGCTTTTAAATGCAATAAAACCAACTGAGTTACAACATCTGACTCTTGCATAAAAGAAACTTATGAATTGCCCAGCCAGCAAGCAGGTTCCTTCAAAGCTCTGACTGTTTAGCTATTATAGAATAAATGGCAGCAAATTTTTTTGTGAAGAAATGCATTCCATTCTTTCTGCATGCAGCATTTGAATTGTCTGCACTCGGGGTTTAAAATTATTTCAGGATGGCTGTGCATTTGATATAACCTAGAAACTGTTGAGGCTTTCATATTTTTTTGTTTTCTGAGTTAGAAAGAACAGAAACTTCCAATGGTATGGGAATTGTTATCAGGGCATATTTTGTTTTAGGTGCAACCTGTAATTTGCATTTTAAATAGCAGTTTGATCATTTCCTGCCTACTGGAAGCAAACAACTTTCCCAAACAGCTTGGCAAACCAGCTTGGTTTGCTCCCTCGGTTTCTGCCAGCTGCAGACTCCAGAGAAATGTTTGGAGTCTGTGCGTTCAGTGCTTGTTCTAAGTAAACACAGTTCCAGGGACTTTCTTTTGCAAAGCTAGATTAGACAGTTTCTTTCTTGACACTTGGGGAAACCAGTGGTTTGTGCAGGGCATGGTCAAAAGAGTCAGGAGGTGGCCATTTAGGTGAAGGTTTGATAGTACTATGGTAGCCTCCATCTTGACTTCACCATACCTTGTCTACACCAGAGGTGGTATTCAGCAGGTTCTGACCAGTTCTGAAGAACTGGTAGCGGAAATTTTGAGTAGTTCAGAGAACTGGTAAATACCACCTCTGACAGGCCCCGCCCCCATCTAATGTCTGCCTCCTGAGTCCCAGCTGATCGGGAGAAAATGGAAATTTTGCAGTAACCTTTCCCTGCAATGGGGAGGGAATGGAGATTTTACAGTATTCTTCCCATGGAGTGGGAAGGGAATGGAGATTTTACAGTATCCTTCCCCTGTACACCCACAAAGCCGCGCCCATAGACCCAGTAGTAAAATTTTTTGAATCCCACCACTGGCCTACACTTTGTATACCATCCTGTGAGCAGCACATTAAAAATAAATTTTAAAAAGTGTAAAGCTGTGTATTCTAAGGGGAAATCAATGTGGACAAACCTGGTTTAGAAAGGGATACTGCAAAAACCTTGAAAGGGCAGTGAAAACATTCAGAAAATTATCTTCTTGCCGCCAACTCTTTGCTGTCCAGATTATCGCAAACACACATGTGGTAGCTTTTAGATTTCCAGCAGAAAAAACAGCATGCATGTGTGTGAGGGAAACTTGACGCTTCCTATGATGTTTTTGTTTTCGAATTTACAACTCCCTAGTTGTTTCCCACACACATGCCCCAGTCCCAGGAAGGGTTAGAATCATCTTTGCAAGATTAATGACATGTAGGCAACTCCATCCTTCCAGGAAGAAAGAAAAGTAAAGCAGTTGTGATGGGCAGAGAATTCTAGTGAAAAAGAAGGCTGTGGGAAAAATTAAATATACTATGTTGTTTCTCCCCTTTTAATCGTCCCCAAGAGGCATTTCCTAAAAAGGTGTGTGTGCTTTGGTGTATATAGTTGTTTGAATTTTAGAGATGGAGCTCTGTCATATTGCTGTAGGGTTAGGGAAGAATCTATATATAGATCTTTCTCTGTAGAGAAATCTGCAAAAGCCATAAAGAAAACACCTTAATCTTAATATAGGAGTTGAAGGTTCAAGGTTCTCTTCCGTGCAGTTGACTTATTTTTATTTTCTGTTTATTCGTATCCCACCTTTATTATTTTTACAAATAACTCAAGGAGGTGAATATATCCAACACACCTTCCTCTTCCTATTTTCCCCACAACAGGAACCCTGTGAAATAACTTGGCTTGAGAGAGATCACCCAGCTGGGTTTCATGGCTCAGGCAGGACTTGAATTCATGGTCTCTTGATGCCTTAACCGCTAAACCTAACTGGCTCTCTGTGCTTTTCTTTTTTGCGATACATTCATTTATTTTAAAATGATGGTCGCACTTTTTTTCCCCATTTCAAGCATGGTACCCCAAATAGCTTCTGTAAATATAAATAAAACTCCATTGGAAAATAAGATGTAAAAGGCAGTCAAGGGGCAGAAAAGACAATAAATAAATAAGACAAGGAATCATAAATAATAGCTTGATAGGGTAATGGTCATTAAAGGAGGAATTATAGCATAGAAAAAGGCAATACAATGATTTTAATGTTGCTGTTCTGTCAACTTCCATGGACAATTCCAACTTCTAATACTTAGAAGATCAATTAAAATAGAGCTGGACGGGACCTTGGAGCAGTGGTGGGTTTCAAATTTTTTTACTACCGGTTCTGTGGGTATGGCTTGGTGGGCGTGGCATGGCTTGGTGGGCGTGTCAGGGGAAGGATACTGTAAAATCTCCATTCACTCCCCATTCCAGGGGAAGGTTATGGCAAAATCCCCATTTTTTCCTGATCAGCTGGCACTTGGGAGGCAGAGAATAGATGGGGGCGGGGCCAGTCAGAATTTTTAGTACCGGTTCTCTGAACTACTCAAAATTTCCGCTACCGGTTCTCCAGAACTGGTCAGAACCTGCTGAAACCCACCTCTGCCTTGGAGTTCAACCTCCTGCTCAAGCAGGAGACCTTATACTATTTCAAACAGATAGCTGTCCAGTCTTTTCTTAAAAACCTCCAGTGATGAAGCTCTCACAACTTCTGAAGGCAAGCAGTTCCACTAGTTAGTTGTTCTCACTCTTAGGAAGTTTCTCCTTAATTCAAGGTTGATTAGTTTCCATCCATTGTTTCTTGTCTTGTCTTCTGGTGCTTTGGAAAATAAGATGACACCCCCCCTCTTCTTTGTGGCAGCCCCTCAAATATTGAAATACTGTTATGTCAGCCCTAGTCCTTCTTTTGTTTAGATTAGCCATACCTAGATTAAACAATTTTGGGCTCAACTGTGATCATGTGTTGAGGACTACCTATACCAGCAAGAGAAAAGTAGAAAAAAGGGGTGATATTAAAGAGGATGAAATAGGTGGTGACAGAGAATCAAAGAACGGTCCATCTGTTTCTCGATCAATCCACTGACACTATGCACCACCCAACGGATCACCCCTGAAGAAAGAGGACTCTTAATCAAAACAAAGACAAATCTTCTTCCTCCATTTAGTTGCCCCTATCCTAACCCCCTCCAATTATAAATATACATTTTGCTTTAGTTTAGTTTAGTTTAGTTTTAGTTTTATTTGATTTGTATACCGCCCTACTCCCGAAGGACTCAGGGCGGTGGACAGCCATAGGATAAAAAACATAAATACAAAATTTAAAACTGAATAAAATCGAATTAAACAATTTGGCCGAAGACAGATTTAAAACACTCCAATAAATTAAAAACTAATTAAAATTTACGTTTTAAAAAGGGAAAAAAGGGAAACAGTTAGGCCAGGCCAGCCTGATGGAATAAAAAAGTCTTGAGAGCACAGTGGAAGATGCGTAGATCTGGGATCCTCTGTATCTCCAGGGGGAGCTCATTCCAGATAGTAGGTGCCCCCATAGAGAAGGCTGTCCCCCTGGGGGCTGCCAGTTGACATTGTTTGGCCAACAGCACCCGGAGGAGCCCCTCTCTATGAGACTGTACCGGCCGGTGGGAGGCTACTGGTGGCAGCAGGCGGTCCCGTAAGTAACCAGGTCCTAAGCCATGGAGCGCTCTAAAGGTGATAACCTAGACCTTAAAGCGCACATAGAAGACCACCGGGAGCCAGTGCAGCTCACGCAGGAGAGGTGTTACATGGGAATGCCATGTCGCTCCCATAACCACCCGCGCGGCCACACTCTGCGCCAGCTGGAGCCTCTGGGTGCACCTCAAGGGGAGCCCCATGTAGAGAGCATTGCAGTAGTCTAGGCGGGAAGTGACAAGGGCATGAGTGACCTGCGTAAGGAGTCCTGATCCAGAAAGGGACGCAACTGGTGAATCAGGCGAACCTGATGAAAAATTAGCTTTAAAAGCCTCCTAGGAAAGATTACTCATTACCCTGATGGTTATGATTTTTATTTTTATTGATTTCTATCCCACCTTTATGGTTGTTTTTTTTTACAAACAGCTCATTGTGGTGAACAGATCTAATACTGCTTCCTCCTCCTCTTCCCCACCCCCAACAACAACCCTGTTGTTGGGGGTAGGGCTGAGAGACTTGCCCAAAATCACCCAGCTGGCTTTCCTGGCTAAGGCAGGACTAAAACTCCTGTTTTCTAACCTGGGGCATTACTAGACCAAACTGTTACCTTTTGATGTTGTTGTTGTTAGTTGTGAAGTTGTGTTCGGCCCATCGCAACCCCATGGACAACGTTCCTCCAGGCTTTCCTGTCCTCTACCATCCTCTGGAGTCCATTTAAGCTCACGCCTACTGCTTCAGTGACTCCATCCATCCACCTCATTCTCTGTCAACTCCTTCTTCTTTTGCCCTCAATCGTTCCCAGCATTAGGCTCTTCTCCAGTGAGTCCTTCCTTCTTATTAAGTGGCCAAAGTATTTGAGTTTCATCTTCAGGATCTGGCCTTCTAAAGAGTAGTCAAGGTTGACCTCCTCTAGGACTGACCGATTGCCTTGCAGTCCAAGGGACTCACAGGAGTCTTCTCCAGCACCACAGTTCAAAGACCTCAATTCTTTACTACGATACCTCTTATCTGCACTTTTTCTAGTTTGAAAAACTATTTCCAGGGAAATGATTCAAACCGAACTACACCCGGATCTGGAAAGGGAGCCAAACTAACTCAGTAAAAAGGAAGTTCTTCTGCAAGATCTGGACATGTTAGGTAAATGGAGATTAGTGCAGAAATCCCTATGAGGAAGAAACAACCTTTCAGCAAATGAAGAAGTGATAGCTGTCAGAGGGAGACATGTGTAAACTATGCGTTTAAACCGGTTGCCAGCTTGTTTGCAAACTCCAAATTGTCACCTCGTGAGAATGGGAGGGAAGTTCAAACCTTAGTCATTATTTCAGAATATAGATAGTCCTCAAGTTACGACCACAATTGAGCCTAAAACTTCCCTTACTAAGCAAGACAGTTGTTGAATGAGTTTTGCCCCATTTTACAACCTTTCTAGGCAAAGTTGTTAAGCGAATCCGCCTTCCCCATTGACTTTGCTTGTCAGACAGTTGCAAAATGTGATCACATGACCCCAGGATACTGTGACCATCATAAATACATGCCATAAATACATGTTTGAATTTTACCAGGCAACCACAGGGATTTTGCAATGGTCGTAAGTGTGAAAAATGATAAGTTCCTTTTTTTTTTCAGGGCAAGTGAATAGTCACTAAGCAAATGGTTGTAAGTCAAGGACTATACCTATATTCCAATCAGGATCCACACAGTTTTATTTACAGTCCAAAATTAAAACAAGGCGACTTCTTCCCTTTTACAACAAGGGGAGGAGGTTGAGAAAACAGCTGTCCATCAAAATGCGGTGGAAAAAAAACAAAAGGCAGCTGCTGGAAATCCTGTTCCATTTATTATTGTCCCACCACATTGTGAGGAAAAGCTCTTTCTCAAGAGAAATGCTTACCCTCTCCTGTGTGAACTTCAAGCAGCTTCTGAGGAGGCTATAAATCTCCCTTGGGAAAGAGATTTTTTTCAGATTGTGCACAGATAATACAGGGAAGTGTCTGTGAAAGCACTGCTGTGCTCTGACCCCCTCTTTTCACTTTAAATCAGGAGTGTCCAACTTTGGCATTTTAAAACTGGTGGATTTCAACTCCTAGAATTTCCTAGCCAGCATTCCCCAGCAATTCTGGAAGCTGAAGTCTACAAGTCTTAAAGTTTCCAAGGTTGGACACCCCCCACCCCCTGCTTTAAATCATACCTGGCTGGAGCCCAGTTACATTTGTGAACAAGCCAGACATTTTTAACATGAAACTCCAAAAGACTTCAATCAGAGAAAGGAATATAAACCTAATGTTTATTTATTTTCTCAATTTCTATGGCCACCCATCTCAAACAAGTTTATATAATGCTAATAACACTAACATAAAATTAAGCATAGAAGCTTAACCCCTATCTTTCATCTTAGTAATCAAGATATGCTGCATTACAAGATAAGCAATCATTTATTTTAATAAATGCAATTGCGCAAAATAATGTCTCCATTTAGCTATTTAAAGACCAGTAGTGTTGGCTCACACAATTCACTTCAGACCAGCTCAAATCTTGTACCTATCCAGGATACTATCCTGATGGGATATTTGATAGAATGTGATGAGAATTTGATCCAGCCATGTTTCCTGACTGTGGCATTGTTGATCTTGGCAAACAGAAGGAGAGAAAAATAAACAGAGAACTACATCCCTTCAGCTCACAGTTTTGGTACTATCTCAATTCAAGCTCATAAAATAATCAATGATGTCTTCAAAGTTTGGTCAAAAAACAGGTGAAATTTGAATTGCACCATTGCAGCCGTCAACTTGGTTTTTTGATCCCAATCTGAGGGTACACCTGAAAATAATTGACCCATAAATGGGAAATTAGAGATTGTATCCTTGGAATTTACCAGAGACATGAGGAAGTCTAATGGTTCCTTCCCCAAAATGTGGTTAAGCCTTTGGGTGGGAATCCCAAAGGTGCTTTTTCCAAGAGGCAACTGGACTTTCTGATTTTTCTTTGAAGATGTTTTACTTCTCATCCAAGAAGCTTCTTCAGCTCTGACTGTATGGTGGGGATCTGAAGAAGCTTCTTGGATGAGAAGTAAAACATCTTCAAAGAAAAACCAGAAAGTCCAGTTGCCTCTTGGAAAAAGCACCTTTGGGACAACCATGACTTGGATGATTGAAAAATCTCCATAGATTTTTGGTGGGAAATAGCATAGTAGCCAAGGTGAATTTTCATAATACTGATGGTACAACTTCATTTGCTAGAATTGCAGGCTGAACTCAAGGTCACTTCCACATAAAAAGACAGGAGGACTGCAGAAAACCAGAAAAAGTGCACCAAGGCCAACTCTTCCATTCCCACCTGCTTAATTTATCTCTCACAACATCCCCTTCTTCCTCAGCCAGGTTAACAAGCTGCACGAAGGCCTCCTTGAGATACACACTGCAGAGAAGGGAGGCCTCTAATTTCCATGTCTCTTTTTCCTTCTGGCTGTTGTAATCAAACTTGGCACCACCTGCTTTTCTCTGGGCCTGAGACACATCTGTGTTTACCCACCCACATTTGCCACCATCCCATTTCATTCTGCCCGAAGTGTGAAGTTTTAATGTAGATTTGATTGAGTAACCAGCTTGCCTCTCTCTCTCTCTTTTTTTTTCTCACGATATTTTTCAGTCTGAGGGCAAGGTGCAGAGTGCCTATCCCTAAAGGTAAAACAAATTATTCTGATTTTTTGTTGTTGTTGCAAAGGACCAAAGGTCAAAGTGCTCCTGCAGAGTGCGAAGAAAATGATTGTCGGTTTGAATACATTGAATCCTGGCTAAGAAATGCTCCAGCTGTGAAAATCAAGCATCTTCTAGCTTGGTAGGAGAACCATCAGCTGCACTCCTAGATTGGTACAGTAAACTGAAAATCTCTTGCAAAGACCCCCCAGATTCTTGGTTAACCCCCCAGGAAAAGAGCATTTCTGCTCCCACACACCCCCACCTCACAAAACTGTGGCTCTCGTTACCCGATTGCCATTTGATGTCAAACGTGGGAGCATTTTGGAGTTGATGTCTTCGTCAAGGCTGAAGCCTTAACACTTGCAAAGAGACCTTGTTTTGCAAATGCCACAGGGCTTTTTATTTTGTTTGGAAGGGGCCCTGTAAAGAAAGCAAAGCCGGTGATGCACAGAGCTTTCTTTGCACTTTTGCCAAGTGAGAAGAGACTGGGAGTTACCCTGCAGCTGAAAATGCTCCCAAGGGGGGAGGAAGGAATATATATTTTTTCCCAAGCAATAGAGAGTACTTTCTCAGGCCCTGGTGGCAGGGACTGCTCTCACCTGGACAGGGGGGAGAGGGGGAGGGAGAGGGAGGGAGGTCATTTCTTTGACGATTAGCTTGAAGGCCATTTGAGCGCAGTAAGTGAGTACAGATGGTTGAATCCTGATCATTTGCCTGATGGGTAAATGTGAAACAGCGTAAAAGAACGCCAGTTGCCGAGGTTAAGCAGAGCTCCAGCAAATTAAGCCTAATTCTCTCAGTCTTCAAACAATGCCTCCACCTGTTTTTCCACTGCATTGCCATCTGTTGCTCCCTTCCTACCTGCTTGCACCAGCAGCTTTTCCCTTGAGCTGTTCATTTCTATCACATCAGATCTTCTCATAAGGTGCAACAGGGGCCTAGGCTCAGCTCACCGTAGTCCAGTAGCCTATTCAACTGCCGCAAGTAGGAGTGACTCTGATGCATCTACTTGAAATTGCTGTCCATGAAATTCTTCAGAATAGTGAATATTTGCATTGCTTCTTTTAGGGAAGGTTCAAAGCACGCAGTGGGAATCGCTTTAGAGATACATTTGCCCGGGTGAAGTTTCTCTTGCACAGTTCTGCTATGACTTGGAAATGTTAAGGCGTCTCTGTTTACAGCCAACTTGGAAACTGCATGATGTGCATATTAATAAAAATGCAGTAACACTACTTGCATAGTTGTAACAAACAAGTGATTGCATGCTGAAGGGGGTAATGGTCAGAGAAGGGGATATTGATGCAAAATTTACATTTATCATGGCAGAGGGAACCAATGCATTGGATTATATTTAGTCTTTGCACCATTACAGGGAGTAAATAGAGTACTAATAGCCCACTGTGTTTTGCCAAGAGTAAATCAACGTATGAAATAATGCAACATTCCCATGTGTTAACTGAAACAAAATTCACGCCATAACATTAAAGCTTATACATGAAAAATGCATTAGATATGTGTGTGTGTGTGTGTGTGTGTGTGTGTGTGTGTGTGCATGTATATCCCACCTTTATTATTTTTATAAAAAATTCAAGGTAGCAAATATACCTAAATATTCCTTCCTCCTCTTTTCCACACAACAACCTTGTGAGATGAGTTGGATTGAGAGAAAGAGAGTGATTGGCCCATAATCACCCAGCCGGCTTTCATACCAAAGGTAGGATTAGAACTTTCAGTCTTCTGATTTCTAGCCTGGTGTTTTAACCACAAGACCAAACGGGATTCATTTATGCCCGCAGAAGATTCTAATTGAGGATTATACCAGTAGTTCCTCGCCAGTTTAATTCCTTTCCATGTTGGAGATGCATTTCCATTTTAGCCTAATCCTCCCGATCTAGCCCATCTATGGAACTGTTATACTAATTACCAAAGTATTGCAAAATATAACATAGACTCAAACAGGAGACAAAATGTTGAAATTGTCAAAATAGCAGCAGGGCTGTAGACTAGATCGAGAAGTCAAACAAACATATCAGATGAATCATTTCGGTATTGTTGCCAAGGTTAGCACATGACATGTCTATGCAATTACCAACAATCAGAAACCTTTATTTTTCTTTTTCCTTAACCAAAATCTTATAGCACTCATGCTGTTTTTAGTTTGGAATAAAAGTGATGGGTCATTCATTCGGGTTTTTTAATGTACTCCCAAGATCCTGGTTAAGGGGTTTAAATTGTATAAGAATCCATATATCTTTTACAACAAAACTTTCACGTCTAAGTTTTGGAACACGAGGTGAATGTCCTGTCACCAACCCTATGCAAGGGGCTAATGTTACAAAGACAGGTGAGCCTAGTCATCTCAGGAGTTTCAAAGTCTATATTTAAAATATGGAAATCAGATGAAGTCCTTATTTCTAGCATTGGCGGTAATTAGAACCCAAACTGTTTCCAGTACATCATATTTCCTTCTTTAAGGAGTCTTAGATTAGAAAGAACTTTTGAAAAACATCCAAGACTTAGCCATTATACAACTTAGAGTGCCATTGTACAACTTCTCCAATTCTGGTCTCTATTTTTAAAAATAGCCTTTGAATGTATGATAGTCATATACCGTTCCCTCTTTAGAAAGTGTAGAATACAGCAGTTCACTCGTGAGCAGTGTGTAAAATGTCATTCAGTGCAAAACATTGTTCTGCTTTTGAAATGGCAAATGGAAGGTTTAGGCTGAACAAACTCAGTTACTTGGGGTGATCCCTGTTTCTTATGTAAGTGGAAGATGGCTAGCTATAAGGCAGAGAGGTAAATGGTCATGCCAAGATACCCAGCACTGCAAGACAACAAAATTATTTGGTACACAACACAGCAATCCACAAATACATCTCCCCATCCCTGGCAGGTAGAGTGCAATATTAAAAGCCATCAATTAAATAACTATTGATCCAATGCCCTTTTATGATAGCTCTGCTGCCAGGGCTGATTGGAGGGCGGGGGCTCTGCCTGAAATTTAAATACAATTGTCTCATCAAGAGTTTTGAAATGCTGAGATTGATTCTGTTCACATAAATGCAAAGTTATCGGCAGAAAGCCTCAATGATGCTTGACTTATGAAATGTGCACTGGGGCATTACAACAGGAGCCTCAGATTTCATACCCACCTTGCAACATTCACATCTGTAAGTTTGCATTGTGATGTCAGGATGCATGTTTCACTGGGGCACCAAAATTTTGCTTTTAAAATATGATTTCTAATAGATTTAAGCCATATCCCCAATATGAGTTTTATTTGGTTGTAGTTTAACTTATGTAAATGCAGGCTGCTCCGTTTTGTGATTATGCTTTATAGGTTAATCTTATGTGACAATCCAGCCATTGTGGCTATTCAAAAAACTGTGGATAAAGGACTTAGCCATAGACTCAAGAAATTGAGTCTGCCACAAAACCTTGCAGAAGAGCTTCATAACCAGTCAGTTTCTATTCTGGGTTTTATCCAGGCCAAGCTGGACACTTCCCTCCTCCTCGTCCTCCAACTGGTGTTCTGGTATTTGTTTTTTCCCAAACTACCAGTCATTTTTCTGTGACTAGAGAGTATGCTTAAATATTCTTGGTTTGTTTCTGAGACAAAACAGCCCCTTCATTAGTGTCTGCTTTTGCCAAACCCTTCATTTCTGCCAGGATGCTAAACAAAACCCATCACATTTCTGCTATGACTCCATTTTTGTTGGCACACCTCAGCTGGTTGTACAATGAAAGCAAGCGGTAATGAAGTCCCACTTGTAAAAGTTAAAAGCTGGTCCTTTGGTCAGTTCAAGCATGACAAGTCACAGGAAATCTTGTAATCCTGCATATTGTACAGCCTCTCGCATTGCATCGAATCGAGTCGAATGTAGGGATGGCTGCATCACAAATGCAAAACCTGTTAATGTACGTTGTTCTGGAAACGCTTGTATGGTGTCCCGAGTTTCTTGGAAAAACAGCAGAATAAAAATGGTGAGGGAGGGAGAACACCCCCACCCCCCCATGAAATGTGGGTAAGCTTGATTATGTTGCAGGTTATAGATAAGCCATGATCCAATATTGTCCCCTATCCAGCTTTTGCAAGGGTGAGGAAGCAAGTGGCTGAGAATGGGTTAAAGGCAACACCATCGCACCTTTCTCCTCCCAAGGTGCAATGATACTCGGCTCCGAGTGCCAGGGACAAACACATACATGACGGCAGCTTTCAAATCCTTCTGCTAACCAGACATGGATGGCGCCACGGCATTACATTTCAGAAACTGAAGCAATAACAACCAACTGACGGTGAGCGTACGGAATCCCTGGAATCTGATGAGACAAGCTCAGATCATAAATATCCAGGAAATAAGCAGGAAACAACTTGTGGAGACAAAGGAGTTGAATTTAACGTTGGATTCCTTTTTCTAATCTAAACCCAAATGGCATTTTGTGAAAGTATTGCTATGCCTTTGTTTTTCCGACTTCCTCTCTTCACTGCCGGTATGTGGGCAGCTCTCTTCCCCATCACTTTAGAAAACCTGAAGTCCAGTTCAAGTGTTGTTGTGCATCTGTTCATGCAATCAGCTCTGATCCACATTAGCCATTCCTGCCATCCAGGGCTCCCTCTCTATTTTAGCTGAAGCCGTATGTAATGTATGGTGTACAGAGAGTCCTCGACTTACAACAGTTCATTCACCGTTGCAGATCCCCATAAGTCATGTAATCAACATTCAGATCAGTGATGGGTTTCAATTTTTTTTACTACCGGTCAGGGGTGAGTTCTAAAATATTTTACTACCAGTTCTGTGGGCGTGGCTTATTTTGTGGGCATGACTTGGGGGGGGGTAATGTGACTAGGTGGGTGTGGCCAACTTTTTTTTTTTTTTACTTTTAAAAGCATTTTTTCTACAACCATAAGAGGTTGCAGAAAAAAATGCTTTTAGAAGCCTCTGACGATCAGGCAAGTCAGCTGGGATCGCCAGAGGCTTTTAAAGGGATTTTTTTTCCTACAACCTCTTCGGCTGCAGAAAAATTGCTTTCAGAAGCCTCTGACGATCCCAGCTGAGCCGCGCGATCATCAGAGGCTTTTTTTTTAACTTTTAAAAGAATTTTTTCAGCCCAAGAGGTTGTAGAAAAAATGCTTTTAAAAGTAAAAAAAAAAAAAAGCCACTGATGAGGTGGGCTAGCGTCGACGGGGCCGGGGACCGGTTCGGGGGCATGGCCAGTCAATGTTATTACCAGTTCTCCGAACTACTAAACATTTTTACTACCGGTTCTTGCGAACCGGTGTAAACCGGGAGCAACCCACCAGTTGCTACCGGTTCTGTGGGCGTTGCTTGGTGGGCGTGGCGTTGCTTAGTGGGCGTGGTGTGGTGTGGCGTGGCTTGGTGGGCATGGCTTGGTGGGTATGCCAGGGGAAGGATACTGTAAAATCTCCATTCCCTCCCCATTCCAGGGGAAGGTTACTGCAAAATCCCCATTTCCTCCCAATTAGCTGGGAACTAGGAGGCAGAGAATAGATGGGGGCGGGGCCAGTCAGAATTTTTACTACCGCTTCTCTGAACTACTCAAAATTTCCGCTACCGGTTCTCCAGAACTGGCCAGAACCTGATGAAACCCACCTCTGATTCAGATGCTTGGCAACTTGACTCGTATTTTATGATGGTTGCAGTGTCCTGGGGTCATGGGTTCACCTTTTGCGACCTTCTGACAAGTAAAATCAATGGGGAAACCAGATTCACTTACCAACCGTGTTACTCATTTAACAAGGGCATTGATTCACTTAACAACCATGGAAAGAAAAGCCGTAAAATGGGGCAAAACTCAATAAATGTTTCACTTAGCAACAGACGTTATGGGCTCAATTACTGAGGTACATCGAGGGCTACTTGTACTCAGGCCACTGGCATTCCTTTCATCAATTCCTTGAACCACTGAGTATCAAATGGTGTCTCCAGGATTCTTGCAACTGACCTGGCTTTAAACCAAAGACAGAGAGAAAGAGTGAGAGAGTGAGGGAGAGAGAGAGAGTGAGCTTCTTATGCCAATTCCACCCTGCCCTGTGGTTTGCCCTAGTCATCAATTTTTTTGGCTTCAGTATCAGGGCTCTGATCTATCAGAAATCACATTGCTTGACAGGGACCAGAAGCCCCCATAAAAGTGCTTTCCACGAGAGGGCTTCTTGGAGCAGGAAGTTGTTATGTAGGGATGTGCATTTTGAACATGACAGGATCAT